ATCCCCTCCATGGACACAGGGGTATACAATCAAGCCCCTAGGCATGCAGACTGCTTCTACAAACATTGGTGAAAGAATGGGTTGCTCTCAGGAGCTCAGTGACTCCAAGCATGGTCCCGTGATAGGTGGTCACCTGGGCAATAAGTCCATCCGTGACATTTCCTGGCTACTAAATATTCCACGCTCAACTGTTAGTGGGATTATAACAAAGTGGAAGCAACTGGGAACAACAGCCACTCAGCCACCAAGTGGTAGGCCACGTCACATGACAGAGCGGGGTCAGTGCATGCTGAAGCGCACAGTGCGCAGAAGTCACCAACTGTCTGCAGAATCAATAGCTAAAGACCTCCAAACTTGGTGTGGCCTTCAGATGAGCCCAACAACAGTGCGTAGAGAGCTTCATGGAATGGGTTTCCGTGGCCAAGCAGCTGCATCCAAGCCTTCCATCACCAAGTGCAATGCAAAGCGTCGGATGTTGTGGTGTAAAGCACGCCGCCACTGAACTCTAGAGCAGTGGAGACGTGTTCTCTTGAGTGACCAATCACGCTTCTCCGTCTGACATTACAATGGACAAGTCTGGGTGTGGCAGTTGCCAAGAGAACAGTACTTGCCTGACTGCATTCTGCCAAGTGTAAAGTTTGGTGGAGGGGGGATTATGGTGTGGGTTCTTTTTCAGGGGTTGGGCTTGGCCCCCTAGTTCCAGTGAAGGGAACTCTTAAGGCGTCAGCATACCAAGACATTTTGGACAATTTCAGGCTCCCAACTTTGTGGGAAGAGTTTGGGGATGGCCCCTTCCTTTTCCAACATGACTGCGACCAGTGCACAAAGCAAGGTCCATAAAGACATGGAGGAGCCAGTTTGGGGTGGAGGAACTTGACTGTCCTGCACAGAGTCCTGACCTCAACCGCATAGAACACCTTTGGGATGAATTAGAGCGGAGACTGTGAGCCAGGCCTCCTCCCCCGACATCAGTGCCTGACCTGACAAATGTGCTTCTGGAAGAATGGTCCAACCTTCCCATAGACACCCTCCTAAACCTTGTGGACGGCCTTCCCAGAAGAGTTGAAGCTGTTATAGCTGCAAAGGGCGGGGCCAACTCAATATTGAACCCTACGCACTAAGACTGGGAGGCCATTAGAGTTCATGTGTGTGGAAAGGCCGGAGGCCCAATACCTTTGGCAATATAGTGTGTGTGTATATATTATTATTATTATTACAGTATTTATATAGCGCCAAAAGGTTTGCTCAGCACTGTACAATATAGTAGGGGACAGAACATGAGACAATACAGTAACAAAACAATACACGAGGGGTTCGAGGGCCCTGCTCTTTCGAGCTTACAATCTAGGAGGGAGGGGATAGTGGTACAGGAGAAAGTGGCTTTGGGGGATGGAGTGGTAGGAGGAGTGGAGGAGATCGGCTGTTTGGTGAGGGTGGGGTAGGCTTCCCTGAAGAGATGGGTTTTCAGGGTGCGCCTAAAGGTGAGGAGGGTAGGTGACAGTCTGATGGATTGTGGTAGTGAGTTCCAGAGGATGGGGGAAGTCCTGGAGAAGTCCTGCAGTCGGGCATGGGAGGAGGAGACCAGGGAGCTAGAAAGTAGGAGGTCTTGTGAGGAGCGAAGATTACGGGTTGGGTGGTATTTGGGTATCAGGTCAGTGAAGTAGTTTGGGGCAGTGTTATGAATGGCTTTGTATGTCAGTGTTAGTAGTTTGAATGTAATGCATTGGGCAATCGGAAGCCAATGGAGGGAATGGCAGAGGGGGGTTGGCAGATGCGGAGCAGATGGTAAGGTGCATGAGTCTGGCCGCTAAGTTCAGGATAGACTGAAGCGGGGATAGCCTGTGTTGGGGTTGGCCAGTGAGGAGGGAGTTGCAGTAGTCCAGATGTGAGATAATAAGGGAGTGAACGAGTTGTTTGGTGGTGTCTGGGGTTAGGAACGAACGTATTTTGGAGATGTTGCGGAGGTGGAGCCTGCATGAGTTTGCCAGCGATTGGACATGGGGCTGGAAAGACAGATTAGAGTCTAGAGTGACGCCTAGGACTTTGGCTTGCGGGGTGGGACTGATGGTGGCATTGTTGGTCGTGATGGAGAGGGGGGGGGGTGCGGGCTGGGGGGAAAACTAGGAGCTCGGTTTTGGCAAGGTTTAATTTGAGAAAGTGGAGTGACATCCAGTCTGATATGTCGTTCAGTAGGCAGGTGATTCGGGCGGAGACTGAAGGGGTGAGGTGAGGGGTAGACAGATTTGCGTGTTGCCGGCGTAGAGGTGATATTTGAAGCCGTGGGAGTGTATCAGTTGGCCAAGGGAGGAGGTGTAGGTGGAGAAGAGAAGGGGCCCAAGGACAGAGCCTTGGGGGACCCCAACAGAGAGGGGGAGAGAGGGGGAGGTGGTAGCATTATAGGTAATGCTGAAGGAGCGTTGTGATAGGTAGGAGGAGAGCCAGGAGAGAGCAAAATCTCTGAGGCCGAGGGAGTGTAGTTTATTAAGGAGTAGGGGGTGGTCAACTGTGTCGAAGGCCGCGGAGAGGTCGAGGAGTAGGAGGACTGAGTAGTGGCCATTAGCTTTTATTATCTATCCCTAACCCTCAAGGGGTGTACAATCTAAGGTCCCTAGCTCACATTATTATTATACAGGATTTTTATATATTATTATTATTATACAGGATTTATGGCGCCAACAGTTTGCTCAGCGCTTTACAATATAATGGGAGACAATACAGCAACAATATAGTTTAATACAAGAGGGTTAGGAGGGCCCTGATTCTTGGAGCTTACAATCTAAGATGAAGGGGATATCCATACATACACATACTAGGGCCAATTCAAACAGGAGCCAATTAACCTTTCAGTCTGTCTTTGGAGTGTGGGAGGAAACCGGAGTACCAAGAGGAAACCCATGCAGGCAAAGGGAGAACATGCATACTCCAGGCGGGTGGTGCTGTGGTTGGTATTTGAACCGACAACCCTTGTGCTGTACAGGAGGTATCAGCTCTACCTGAGTTTTTCTGTGGACTGTTGCAGAACAATGTCGCCCCCCAGCCCTTCCCAATGTTGTGGAGAGAAGTAGTTGTCCTATCATACATCCTCTCTTGGAGTGACAACACTCCTCCAAGGATACAGTATTTTGAGTGTTGTCATCCTTAGGACAGGATGCTTTAAGAAAAGAAAACAAATGCAGCCATTACACTGAAGGATACTACATTTTGCGCTTGGGTATTATCCGCTGGTTTACAAAGGCTCTAGTGCGCATGAATTTACAGGAACAGATTCCACTGCTCGTTAACCCTCTGGCAGTTCTGGCTAGAAGCAAACTATCACACATTATTCATCTTGGCAACTCCCGCCCTGCTCTATATCACAGCCTTCCCTGGTGTGAACGGGTCTGAGCTCACATCAATATTTCAGTTGTGGAGACACCTTTGCCTTGAGTACACCTTGGAGGCGTGTGACTTCAGTCTGCACTTGCATGTCCCTATGACACGGAGACAATGTGTTCAGGAACTAAATCTATGGAAACAAGTTGGGTTTCCCTAAATGCAACAAGGCGATGTGAACTACTTCCCAACTGCAGTACGTATAAATACATTGCAGATAGCCAGAGGCTTCCTGGGGTTATGGCTGAAGATATCGGCCATAACTGTGGTATCTTTTTTTTTTTCTTTTCGGCAGCGGCCGGCTTGGTCCGAGTGGCTCATTAGCCTCTGAACCCGAGAAACAACCTGACGATGCGACCGACTGGCAACAAAGGCGATGAGAGACTCTATCATCTCTAAATGCCTCCATGGCCTTGGAGGACCAGAGCTGCGGAATGACGTCACTTCCATTCCAGGGTGGATGTAAACAATTTTTGTTTTTTCTTTAACCTCTTGGCGCAGGCCGCACGCAAAGGTGCGGTCTCCTGGTGTCTGGGCCTTGACGCGCTTCCAGCACACATGTCCGCTACTCACGAAAAGGTCCCAATCTCCTCTTTCGATCAGGGCCTTTCCTGATGATGCAACTGCCATGACAGCGAATCACAGCGGTCACACACATGACCCTAAAACCCCGCCTCACCTCCTGGCTTCTTAAACCCTTAAAGGGCCGGCAGGCCCCGGCACCAAGAAGTTAAAGCAAAAGATTTTTTTTTAAATTGCTTGTAAAGGTGAAGGAGAGATTTGGGTGTTTTTTTTTTGTTTTTTTTTTAACCACAGATCTCTCCTGTTAAAGAGGACCTGTCATCTTTATTTCTATTACAAGGGATGTTTACATTCCTTGTAATTGGAATAAAAGTGATCCCCCCAAAAAAAGGGACAGTGTAAAAGTAGGAAAAAAAAATTTAAAGCACCCCTATCCCTCTGCTCACACAGAGAAGTGAACACATACATAAGTCACACATACATATGTAAACAGTGTTTGCATCACACGTGAGGTATCGCCGCAAACGTTAGCGAGTGCAATAATTCTAGTGCTAGACCTCTGTCACTTCAAACGGGTAACCTGTACAAAAAATTTTTAAGCTTTGCCTATGGAGAAATTTTTAAGTACTGTAGTTTGTCGCCATTCCACAAGCGTGCTCAATTTTAAAGCATGACATGTTGGGTATCTTTCATAGTTTTTTGGGTACATAGTTTGTTTGTTTGTTTTTTTTAATTCATTTTTTTTTCCCCAAAATATTGCATTTGAAAAACCACTGTGCAAATACCCAGTGACATAAAAAAAATGGCAACTATCACCATTTCATTCTATAGGCTCTTTGCTAAAAAAAAAAAAAAAAAAATAATAATAATTTTAATTTATACAGTATATATATATTTGTTAGAAAATTAGGTATAACTCCCAAACAATACTAATTTAAAAACAAAAAGTGCTAGAAAATGCTTTGCTAAATGTCATGTTAAAATGTTTGTTTGTCACTGATGTTAGCAATTTTCATTTTGTAACCAGCCTGACTGCAGTAGAGTAATAAACCACAAGGGAGATGGAAAGGAACTGCAGCCGCTGTTATTGCTGATCTTAAAATCCTAACTGCTGATATGTCTCTGGCCTCATTACTTCCTTAACTACCTGCCAACCGCAGATAGCCGAATGATGGCTACACTGCGGCAGGCCAGTTCTGGGAGGGCGTCATATGACGTCCTCTCAGAACGTGCTCTCCTGCGCTCCCCCAGGGCCCCCCCCCCCCACCGGCGATCTCCCTGATCGCTGTGTCCTATGGACACAGCTGATCACGTGATGTGGTAAGAGGCCAATCACAGCGACCTTTTACCACGTGATCCAATGACACGCTGATCACCAGGAAATGCAATTGCTGGTTCTCGGCTGCACTTTCCTCACGCTGTCAGAGTGTGAGGAAAGTACTGCCAGAGCAGGGATCGGCACCGATCATCAGGGCACTGATGATCAGTGCCCTGATGATCGTTCCCCATCAGTGCCACCCACCATTTCCGCCCACCTGTGCCCAGCAGTGCGCCCACCTGCGCCCATTAGTGCACCCTCCTGTGTCCAGCAGTGCCACCACCTGTGCCCAGAAGTGCCACCTACCTGTGCCCAGCAGTGCCACCCACCTGTGCCCGACAGTGCCACCCATCAGTGCAGCCCAGCAGTGCTGCCAGTCAGTGCCACCAGTCGGTGCCCAGCAGTTGCTCCATTTTTTTTGTGTATAGCGCAAAAAATAAAGCGCCCAGCGGCGATTAAATACCACCAAAAAAAATCTCTATTTGTGAGAAAAAAATTATAAAAATTTCATATGGGTACAATGTTGCATGACCCGCGCAATTATCAAAGTGTGACAGCGCTGAAAGCTAGAAATTGGCCTGGTAAAGAAGGGGGTATAAGTGCCCAGTAGGCAAGTGGTTAAAGAGGAGCTCCACCCAGAAAGGGAAGTTCTGCTTTAAGGGTTTGTCTCCCACTCTCCATTAAGGATTGGCACCTTTGGGGAGGGGGTACCTGAAGTTGACCGGTACCCACTCACACTTCTGGTGCGATCGCCTAAGGCCTAAGTTGTCATGTGACAGGTTTTTGTCGGTGCAGGGGAAATGATCATTAGAGCAAAAGTGGGATTTTTGTTTGTGATTCACCATATTTGTCTGAGTTCATTGACGGACACAGCTTCCTCCCCTCAATTCATGACCAAACAGGGTTTTGGAGCCCCACCTACAGGAGTAGGACACTAGGCAGAAAAAAAGACTTGACACCTCCTATGAGCAGTCCTTTCTGGGCATAAAACCCCCTCTGTGCTATAGTCCTCCAGTCAGTCACAAGCAGTGTCAAAGGAGAAGGTTCCATAGAGGGGTGCATGCTGTGTCCGTCAGTGAACTCAGAGAAAGGGATTTTACGGTAACAAAAAAGATCCCGTTTTCTCTTGCATTCTTTGATGGACACAGCTTCCTCTCCTCAATTCATGACCAAACAGGGATGTCCCCAAGCAGTGTCCCAATGAGGGGTGGGCAAACCAAACAACCAATGGAGAAGAAGCCCAGGACAACATGCCAACACTCCGAACCACCCCAAGGTGTTCCCGAGAGTCCAAAACAGCAACCTGCAAAACCTTGCGACCAAAAGGAACATCGAAAGATGCTAACACATCAACTGTATAGAACGGCACGTGTAATATACCATCTAGCCAAACATTTGTAATTCATTTCTACTGTGCTCATATTCGTCACCTTGTGTGTTAATTTGAATATTTTATTCATTTGTAGCTCGTTCAATTTTGTTCCAATCTCCTGTTCCCATTTTTCCAAGAACTCAGGAGGATCAGTACCCTCCATATCCATAAGAATCGTATAAATCCTGGAGGTGCCTTGTTTAGGAACTATAGCTACATTCAACAGTTTTTCAAATGGATACAGATCCTCCGAATTCCTCAGTGGGTGTGGGAGTGTTGAAACGAAATGACCTAATTGGCTATACCGACAATCGTCTAATGCAAAAAAATAATTTTTTTTTTTTATTTATGTCAGAAAAAGTGTGCAATTTCCCTTTATTCAGTATATCTTTCAAACGTGCATTCTGATCTTTAATCCTTTTCCCAGAAATATTATCCTTCCCTGGGGGGAAATACTCCGTTCCCGCCAACTGAATCATAACTGAATTATATTTCCATCCCTTTTGCTTATACATTCTATCCCAAAGAATTAAAACTTTCTTTGTCAGTGGACTAATATTCACATCTAATGTGAGGAATTTATGTGGTACCCAAACCGTCTTCCCTAACTGCCTTTCTCAGAATCCCTTCCATTTTCACCCAACCTTTCCCTTGTGAATTAAATATCCCGTCTATTATTCGTGATAATATCACTGCTTGATAATATTTCTTAACAGACATACCCAAACCCCCATTCTCTTTTGCCCTACACAATACCTCATACCTATTTCTTGGTTTCTTATTTGCCCAGATAAACTTAAGTATCATCCTCTTTATTATCCCGAGGAAAGATCCTGGTAGATGTACTTGGAGCATGTGAAACTTATACAGGATATTTGGTACTATAACCATCTTTACCAGGTTTATATGACCTATCCAGGAAGCACCACCTTTTGACAATCTCCCCAGCTCCTCTTTTATTTTGTTTACTAGTGGGATATAATTTGCCTGGTACAGGGCTTTTATTGAAGGAGTTAGTTTAATTCCCAAGTCGCCTATTTCCTTTTCCCTCCAAGTAAATGGAAAGTCTTTTTGTAGACACAGCTTCTCAACTTTTGGTATATTGATGTCTAAGATCTCTGACTTTGCAGGGTTCATTTTCAGATTTGAAAGCTCGCTGTAGTGTTTTAATAGTCTCATTAAACTAGGCAATGTTATTCTAGGATTTACAATATAGAACACGTCGTCTTATGCTCCACGTCCCCTATCTTTATTCCTGCTATGTCTACACACTTTCTTACCCTCGCCAGGACAGGTTCCAGGGATAAAACAAATAATAAAGGAGAAAGTGGGCATCCTTTATACATTTTAAAGAACTGAGAGAGGGATCCGTTGACCTTAACCGCTGCTGATGGAGTGCTATAAAGCCCTTTTACCCACTTTAACATTTTAGGCCCTATTCCTAAGGCATCTAGTGTATCGTTCACGAAACCCCAGTTAACCCCGTCCAAAGCCTTTTCGGCATCAATTGACAGGAATAATGTTGGCAGTTTCTCTCTTTTTACTCTTTGTAGGAGGAGCAAAGATCTCAGAGCATTGTCCTTACCTTCTCTTCCCGGACTGAATCCTACCTGATCCAACAACAAGTAGATGTTTTACCTTTATGTTGGAGAGGATGTGGGGAAAAGGGAACAATGGTACACATATGGTGGGATTGCCTGAAAATACAGGATTACTGGAAGGGAATATTACAATATATTCAGGAAATATGTGTGATTACTGTACACAGAGACCGTGGACATGTTTATTTTTATAAATTTGAACCTGTAGATAAACTACATAAGAACAGGGTACTATATTATCTAATCAGTGCTGCTAAGAGCTTGATTCCCAAATTTTGGCTTGCCCCAGACCCACCAAGAATAAATGACTGGGTTAACAGAGTGGAAAATTTCTACAGGATGGATGAGTTGTATCATATTTAGGAGGATAGAATAAAAAAACATTTAGGAAAATGTGGAGTAGCTGGTTAATTTTCAGAACATCTAAAAGATATCTGGAACTGGTGGGAATATAGGTGGAAGAGTATTAGAGGGAGTTTTAATGGAGTACCTGACAGAGAGAAGGAGATAGGAGGGAAGGGATACAGATATATAGATAATCATGAGAAACGATAGAAAGTAGGATTTCGGTATGGACTGGGGAAATTGGAGGGGGGTGGGGCAGGGGATAAGACGATGCAAATAGAATTTATGTATTGGTGAAGTTCTTATTATTTTTGTGTGCATTAGATGCTCTTTTTGTATTGGAAAAAAAAAAACCTGCATAGAACATAACAAAACATATGCACAGACGACCAGGTCGCCGCTAACAAACCGGAGAAACAGACACCTGACAATGGAACTCTTAGGAGGTGCTAACCTCCCCGATGGAACACGCCGCAACAGGGAAGGGAGGTTCCCACCCCTTAACGGCATACACCTGTACAACCGTCTGCCGAACCAACAGGAGATAGTGGCAGAAGAGGTCCTCCGGCCTTTCTTCAGAACATCCATGACCATAAAGAGATTTGGACCTCTGGAAAGCAAACATCATATAAAGTTACATGTGAATAACGCAAGCCACAGTAAGGGAGTGCAAGGCTACCTCTTTAGGGTGTGATAGGCGAGGACACAGAAAGGACGATATCCTCATTCCTATCATGTGAAAATCCGACACAACCTGTGGTAGAAAAGGGGAAGGTGAAATACCACCTTGTCCTCATGTAAAACCAAAAAGACGACTTACAGGACAAGTTGCCAACTCAGACATCCACCGCATCGAGGTAATAGCGACTAGGAAGGCAACTTCATGTGAAGCGTAAGCAAGGGAATACCCTGAATGTTCTCAAAGGGAGGCTGTTGGAGAGCCAAATTCAAACCCCACGGTGGCAATGGAGAACGCTCACAGGGGGCACCACGTGACAAACCCCCTGAATGAAAGTGCAAACCAAAGAAGGCCTGGCTAAGAGATGATCATGCTCAGTGCAAGCCTCTGATGCACACCACGTTAGAGGAAGGCCAACACCTGAGCCCTCGAGAAGGAGCTAGGAGAAAACCCAAGGCTTCACACCAAACGATATAGGCTCACTAGGTACAAAGAGAAATCATTCAGGAGGTAGACTTGTGGGCATTTACCAAGTCGGAATCGCCAAGTCAGACAACCCCGTCCTACAGAACCTGGCTTCCAATAGCCACTCCGTAATGCCAGCAATGGCAAGCTGGGTGGAAGACCGTCCCTTGAGACAGAAGGGCATCCCACATAGGCAGCCACCAGGGGGCATCCACTACCATCGCACCACACTAGTGTGCAATGGGCAGCCCAGAGCCACCAGGATGACCAGAATCCTCTGAGCCGCTAACCCGCATAGTAAATAAGGAAGCAGATGGAAGGATGGAAAGGCGCAGACGAGATTGCTTTGATCCCACAGCACCACTAGTGCCTCCCTCGTGTCTGCCAGAGGATTCAACGATCTTGCTGCAAAATGCGAAACTTTCCGTTGGAGGCGGGATGCCACGAGATCCATGTCTGGCGTTCCCAGCGAAGTCAGAGCTGATGAAACACCTCCGGATGTAGGGACCATTCATGCTGGTCCAGCATTTGGTGGCTGAGATAAACCTTTTGCCAGATTTCAATGCTTGGAATGTGTGCAGCAGACAGAGTTGGAACAAACCTTTCCGTCCACCGCAGAAAATGATACACCACCAGTTCTGCAGCTGCACTTCCTGTGCCTCCTTGATTGACATATGCCACCTCAATGGCATTGTCTGACTGAATCCTTGTCGGCAGATCCTATAGGCAAATAGTTTAAACATTTCAGCGACAACCTAATCCCTGAAGCTCCAGAAAATTGATGGGTAGTTGAGCCTCCTCTGGAGTCAAACGACCCTGAGCCGAGTACGATCATGGCCATAGTCCAGAGAATGGGAAGGAAGGACTTTCTGATCTATAGAGCCAGAGACTGCAGCCACCAGAGAAGAGGGATCCTCGTCAACTGCTCCAGGATATGCCGAATGTCCAAGGAAGCAGAAGACCTGTTCCAGATAGGATTTAGTCCCACAGTATACGCACATGAATCTGGGTATATAGAGCCGCCTTGATGGTAGCCATCACCAGACCTAAAACCTGCTAGCAAAAATGCACGGAGGGCTATTTGCAAGATAAGAGCTGCCGGCTCACCACCAGGAGCTTCAGGAGACTGTCCAAGGGGAATAATCTGCAGTAAATGCATAGTGATCACCAGTCCATCTGCGGCAAGCGAGTCTCTGCATGCAAAAGCAAGTCATTTAGGAGACAGATCACAGCGATTCTTCATTGCCTCAGCAAGGCCAGGATCAGGGCCAACACAGTGGGAGCACCCAGATATCAGACCAAAGGCAGCGCAATAATCAACAATGTGCATCTCTGATAGGAACATGTAGGGCAAAACTGATGTCCCTAGCAGAGCCCACGATGGCTATGAAGGCCAGGAAATCCCGTTAGTGGAGAAAGGCCACTACCGAGCGAATGGATTCTAACCTGAATCTGTGAACCTGAGGCCCAGGAATGGGTGAACTCCATCTGTCTCTGAAAACAGATTAGAGACAAACCCCTTAAATTGCTCTGATTTGGTTGTTGGGACAATTACTCCACAGAGAAGTAAATCCTGCACAGTCCCGTAGAGACCGGGGTGATTTGGCTAGAACCGTAAGGGAAAAAACGGATATAGTGAATGCGGGGTCCGGGGAGAGCGGATATAGTAAATGCGGGGTCCGGGGAGAGCGGATATAGTGAATGCGGGGTCCGGGGAGAGTGGATATAGTGAATGCGGGGTCCGGGGAGACCGGATATAGCGAATGCGGGGTCCGGGGAGAGCGGATATAGCGAATGCGGGGTCCGGGGAGAGCGGATATAGCGAATGCGGGGTCCGGGGAGAGCGGATATAGCGAATGCGGGGTCCGGGGAGAGCGGATATAGCGAATGCGGGGTCCGGGGAGAGCGGATATAGCGAATGCGGGGTCCGGGGAGAGCGGATATAGAGAATGCGGGGTCCGGGGAGAGCGGATATAGCGAATGCGGGGTCTGGAAGAGAGCGGATATAGCGAATGCGGGGTCCGGGGAGAGAGGATATAGCGAATGCGGGGTCCGGGGAGAGCGGATATAGCGAATGCGGGGTCCGGGGAGAGCGGATATAGCGAAACGCGGGGTCCGGGGAGAGCGGATATAGAGAACGCGGGGTCCGGGGAGAGCGGATATAGCGAATGCGGGGTCTGAAGAGAGCGGATATAGCGAATGCGGGGTCCGGGGAGAGCGGATATAGCGAATGCGGGGTCCAGGGAGAGCGGATATAGCGAATGCGGGGTCCGGGGAGAGCGGATATAGCGAATGCGGGGTCCGGGGAGAGCGGATATAGTGAATGCGGGGTCTGCGGAGAGCGGATATAGCGAATGCGGGGTCCGAGGGAGAGCGGATATAGCGAATGCGGGGTCCGGGGAGAGCGGATATAGCGAATGCGGGGTCCGGGGAGAGCGGGATATAGCGAATGCGGGGTCCGGGGAGAGCGGATAAGCGAATGCGGGGTCCGGGGAGAGCGGATAGAGCGAATGCGGGGTCCGGGGAGAGCGGATATAGCGAATGCGGGGTCCGGGGAGAGCGGATATAGCGAATGCGGGGTCTGCGGAGAGCGGATATAGCGAATGCGGGGTCCGGGGAGAGCGGATATAGCGAATGCGGCGTCCGGGGGAGAGCGGATATAGCGAATGCGGGGTCTGAAGAGAGCGGATATAGCGAATGCGGGGTCTGAAGAGAGCGGATATAGCGAATGCGGGGTCCGGGGAGAGCGGGATATAGCGAATGCGGGGTCCGGGGAGAGCGGATATAGCGAATGCGGGGTCCGGGGGAGAGCGGATATAGCGAATGCGGGGTCCGGGGAGAGCGGATATAGCGAATGCGGGGTCTGCGGAGAGCGGATATAGCGAATGCGGGGTCCGGGGAGAGCGGATATAGCGAATGCGGGGTCCGCGGAGAGCGGATATAGCGAATGCGGGGTCCGGGGAGAGCGGATATAGCGAATGCGGGGTCCGGGGAGAGCGGATATAGCGAATGCGGGGTCCGGGGAGAGCGGATATAGAGAATGCAGGGTCCGGGGAGAGCGGATATAGTGAATGCAGGGTCTGAAGAGAGCGGATATAGCGAATGCGGGGTCCGGGAGAGCGGATATAGTGAATGCGGGGTCCCGGGGAGAGCGGATATAGAGAATGCGGGGTCCGGGAGAGCGGATATAGCGAATGCGGGGTCTGAAGAGAGCGGATATAGCGAATGCGGGGTCCGGGGAGAGCGGATATAGCGAATGCGGGGTCCGGGGAGAGCGGATATAGAGAATGCGGGGTCCGGGGAGAGCGGATATAGCGAATGCGGGGTCTGAAGAGAGCGGATATAGCGAATGCGGGGTCCGGGGAGAGAGGATATAGCGAATGCGGGGTCCGGGGAGAGCGGATATAGCGAATGCGGGGTCCGGGGGAGAGCGGATATAGCGAACGCGGGGTCCGGGGAGAGCGGATATAGAGAACGCGGGGTCCGGGGAGAGCGGATATAGCGAATGCGGGGTCTGAAGAGAGCGGATATAGCGAATGCGGGGTCCGGGGAGAGCGGATATAGCGAATGCGGGGTCCAGGGAGAGCGGATATAGCGAATGCGGGGTCCGGGGAGAGCGGATATAGCGAATGCGGGGTCCGGGGAGAGCGGATATAGTGAATGCGGGGTCTGAAGAGAGCGGATATAGCGAATGCGGGGTCCGGGGAGAGCGGATATAGCGAATGCGGGGTCCGGGGAGAGCGGATATAGCGAATGCGGGGTCCGGGGAGAGTGGATATAGCGAATGCGGGGTCCGGGGAGAGCGGATAGAGCGAATGCGGGGTCCGGGGAGAGCGGATAGAGCGAATGCGGGGTCCGGGGGAGAGCGGATATAGCGAATGCGGGGTCCGGGGAGAGCGGATATAGCGAATGCGGGGTCTGCGGAGAGCGGATATAGCGAATGCGGGGTCCGGGGAGAGCGGATATAGCGAATGCGGCGTCCGGGGAGAGCGGATATAGCGAATGCGGGGTCTGAAGAGAGCGGATATAGCGAATGCGGGGTCTGAAGAGAGCGGATATAGCGAATGCGGGGTCCGGGGAGAGCGGATATAGCGAATGCGGGGTCTGGGGAGACCGGATATAGCGAATGCGGGGTCCGGGGAGAGCGGATATAGCGAATGCGGGGTCCGGGGAGAGCGGATATAGCGAATGCGGGGTCCGGGGAGAGCGGATATAGCGAATGCGGGGTCCGGGGAGAGCGGATATAGCGAATGCGGGGTCTGCGGAGAGCGGATATAGCGAATGCGGGGTCCGGGGAGAGCGGATATAGCGAATGCGGGGTCCGCGGAGAGCGGATATAGCGAATGCGGGGTCCGGGGAGAGCGGATATAGCGAATGCGGGGTCCGGGGGGGAGAGCGGATATAGAGAATGCAGGGTCTGAAGAGAGCGGATATAGCGAATGCGGGGTCCGGGGAGAGCGGATATAGCGAATGCGGGGTCTGAAGAGAGCGGATATAGCGAATGCGGGGTCCGGGGAGAGCGGATATAGCGAATGCGGGGTCTGGGGGAGACCGGATATAGCGAATGCGGGGTCCGGGGAGAGCGGATATAGCGAATGCGGGGTCCGGGGAGAGCGGATATAGCGAATGCGGGGTCCGGGGAGAGTGGATATAGCGAATGCGGGGTCCGGGGGAGAGCGGATAGAGCGAATGCGGGGTCCGGGGAGAGCGGATAGAGCGAATGCGGGGTCCGGGAGAGCGGATATAGCGAATGCGGGGTCCGGGGAGAGCGGATATAGCGAATGCGGGGTCTGCGGAGAGCGGATATAGCGAATGCGGGGTCCGGGGAGAGCGGATATAGCGAATGCGGCGTCCGGGGAGAGCGGATATAGCGAATGCGGGGTCTGAAGAGAGCGGATATAGCGAATGCGGGGTCTGAAGAGAGCGGATATAGCGAATGCGGGGTCCGGGGAGAGCGGATATAGCGAATGCGGGGTCTGGGGAGACCGGATATAGCGAATGCGGGGTCCGGGGAGAGCGGATATAGCGAATGCGGGGTCCGGGGAGAGCGGATATAGCGAATGCGGGGTCCGGGGAGAGCGGATATAGCGAATGCGGGGTCCGGGGAGAGCGGATATAGCGAATGCGGGGTCTGCGGGAGAGCGGATATAGCGAATGCGGGGTCCGGGGAGAGCGGATATAGCGAATGCGGGGTCCGCGGAGAGCGGATATAGCGAATGCGGGGTCCGGGGAGAGCGGATATAGCGAATGCGGGGTCCGGGGAGAGCGGATATAGCGAATGCGGGGTCCGGGGAGAGCGGATATAGAGAATGCAGGGTCTGAAGAGAGCGGATATAGCGAATGCGGGGTCCGGGAGAGCGGATATAGCGAATGCGGGGTCGGGGAGACCGGATATAACGAATGCGGGGTCCGGGGAGAGCGGATATAGAGAATGCAGGGTCCGGGGAGAGCGGATATAGTGAATGCAGGGTCTGAAGAGAGCGGATATAGCGAATGCGGGGTCCGGGAGAGCGGATATAGTGAATGCGGGGTCCGGGGAGACCGGATATAACGAATGCGGGGTCCGGGGAGAGCGGATATAGTGAATGCGGGGTCCGCGGAGAGCGGATATAGTGAATGCAGGGTCCAGGGAGACCGGATATAGCGAATGCGGGGTCCGGGGAGAACGGATATAGTGAATGCAGGGTCCGGGGAGAGCGGATATAGCGAATGCGGGGTCCGGGGAGAGCGGATATAGCGAATGCGGGGTCCGGGGAGAACGGATATAGTGAATGCGGGGTCCTGGGTTGAGTAACACTTTAAAGACTCTGGAATAGATCTAAATTGAAAGTCAAAAGGCAAGCTGAAAAAAATCATAAAAACCTGGTCCTGGTAAGTGTTCAAAGCCAAATGTTGGTCCAGACTCAACTGCAGAAAATGGATTTGCAGGATTTGTCTCACATTAAAACTCTTGGGAGTGGTAAGCCCAAAGACTCACACAGAGAGATGAATGGCTTCCATGTCTGAAAACAAATCCTGCTGGAAGTAGACTTCCCAGTCGTCAGGCTAGCCTTAGGTGACTGTTTTTTTTCCGATCAGCCTACTGGTTGGATCGGGAAAAAAAAAAAGGATTCCTTCATCCACACATGCAAGGTGGATGAAGGTATCCTTGCCACTGTGCTACTGGATTCTGACAGGAGGCACTTCCACTGTCAGAATACATTCATCAATAACAGTTTTCCAAAAGTCCTGTTAGTTAGATAGAAGTTGAATTTTAAAGAGTTGAGGATCACCAGAACATCCTCCATCCCAAACCTGCAAAGCAGACAAGTTTTAGGGGAGGACAAGCAAGATCAGGGTGTACCAATCCCACAAAGATACCAAGCACCTGCTGTTTCCATAGAGGATTCCTCCTCTGACCAAGTCCCATGCAGGATACCCAGGATTCCTACCCAGCTTGAGAGCTGACAAGTAGTGCGAGAATCCTTTAGGCGGAGGAGAAAAAAAAAGGACTTCCTCTAACTCCAGAGACAGATATCCAAGGCTGGTCCTCAGTGACGAATCCGTCTGCAGGAACTGGGGGGACCTCCCCCATGTTAATAAAAGAGCAAACAAGATTGCCACTAGGAAGACTACCATCAGACCAAAAGCTCTCATGCAAAAGTGGAGAGTTGGATGGTTCCTAGTCTGGACAGCTCAAATTAGAATCCAGAGAGTGAATATTTGTCCTGTGCAAGGACCATTCTGGCCTGAGTTGTGTCCAGATCTAGAGCCAGATACTCCTAATAATATGTCTGTCCCAGCATTGATTTCTGGAGGTTCAGGACCAATCCAGATCCCTGCAATGTCTGGATGCTCAGTGCCACAATGCCTGACAGCCTGTGCCGACTGTTCCCTCAACAGGAGTTCATCTATGTATAATAGGAAAGCCACAAAAGCACATCAGGGTTAGTAGTGGGGCCAGCACACTGAACAATGCCTGATGTGCAGTGGCCCTACAGCAATGTGCAGGAATTATTATTATACAGGATTTATATAGCGCCAACAGTTTGCTCAGCGCTTTACATTATGGTGGGAGACAATACACGAGACAGTACAGTAACAATACAATTCAATACACGAGGGGTTCGAGGGCCCTGCTCCTTGGAGCTTACAATCTAGGAGGGAGGGGACAGTGGTACAAGAGGAAATAGCTGTGGGGGATGGAGTAGTTGGAAGGATAGAGGAGTTCAGTATTAGCTGAGGGTGGGTAGGCTTCCCTGAAGAGATGGGTTTTCAGAGTGCGCCTAAAGGTGAGCAGAGTAGGTGATAGTCTGATGGATTGGGGTAGGGAGTTCCAGAGGATGGGGGAAGCCCTGGAGACGAGCACAGGAGGAGGAGACAAGGAAGCTAGAGAGTAGGAGGTCTTGCGAGGAGCGGAGAGTACGGTTTGTGTGATATTTGGAGACAAGATCGGTGATGTAGTTTGGGGCAGTATTATGATTGGCTTTATATGTCAGTGTTAGTGTTTTGAATTGTATCCGTTGGGCAATTAGAAGCTAGCAGAGGGATTGGCAGACAGGGGTGGAGGACACTGAGTGGAGGCCAGTGGACGGATTGGCAGAGAGGGGTGGAGGACACTGAGTGGAGGCCAGTGGACGGATTGGCAGAGAGGGGTGGAGGACACTGAGTGGAGGCCAGTGGAGGGATTGGCAGAGGGGGGTGGAGGACACTGAGTGGAGGCCAGTGGACGGATTGGCAGAGGGGTGGAGGACACTGAGTGGAGGCCAGTGGAGGGATTGGCAGAGGGGGGTGGAGGACACTGAGTGGAGGCCAGTGGAGGGATTGGCAGAGGGGGGTGGAGGACACTGAGTGGAGGCCAGCGGAGGTATTGGCGTGGCGGATACGGAGCGGTTAGTAAGGTGAATGAGCCTGGCCGCAGCATTCATGATAGACTGAAGAGGGGATAGCCTGTGGTGAGGTAGGCCAATGAGGAGGGAATTACAGTAGCGAGGCGTGATATAATAAGGGAGTGAATGAGTTGCTTAGTGGTTTCCGAGGTTAGGAACAGGCGTATTTGCAAATTGCTCAAGCACTGCAAAAATGGGAACATGAAGGTAATTATCTCTGATATCCACATAAGTCAGAAATTGTCACATGGTCAATGGAGGCAAAGTGAGAAGAGTAGAGATTTATCAAAAAAATTGAAGCAGGATGGTTGTGGACGGTGTTATCCTTTTTTGGTTGCCAGTATCCATTTTTGATGTAGGCAGTAGTACCCGTCCGTCTAAGAATTCCAGTGTCCCTCTATGAACAATAAAGCTACTAGGGGCGTTCAAGTCAAACTGGGACTTTCAATTTTCCAGGTATAAAAAGGGATGCTGGCGTGGTCATACTACACGCAGTAATAAATGGCAAGAGTGTACTATTACTGATAGATGGCGCACATGTCGCGGGCCAATCCAGAGACCGCTTTCAAGATGGCAGACAACAGTGTTAATAAGTGCATTGAACAGAGTGTGGCGGTGAAGTTTCTTGTGAACGAAGGCGTAAAACCTGTGGATATCTACAGAAGACTTCAAGCACAGTACGGTGGTGAGACGCTCAGCTGCAGTAAGACATATGAATGGTGTAAACGTCTCAAAGATGGCCGTACGTCCGTCAGTGGTGATCCCAGCCGTGGTGGTTCCCAGCACACAGCAGTCATTCCTATGAACATTCAGCATGTGGATCGCCTGATCCTGGATAATCGATACATAACTTGTCGTGAAATTGCACAAGAGACAAATCTTTCTGTGGGATCAGTGAACACAATGATGAAGTGAAGCGAGATGTCCTAGGATGGTTCAGCCGTACAGACAAATCTTTCTGTGGGAATGGTGAACACGATGAAGTGCAGCAGGCTGTGCTAGGATGGTTCAGGCGTACAGACAAATCTTTCTGTGGGAACGGTGAACACAATGATGAAGTGAATCAAGATGTCCTCGGATGGTTCAGGCGTACAAATCTTTCTGTGGGAACGGTGAACACAATGATGAAGTGCAGCAGGCTGTCCTAGGACGGTTCAGGCGTACAGACAAATCTTTCTGTGGGAACGGTGAACACAATGATGAAGTGCAGCAGGCTGTCCTAGGACGGTTCAGGCGTACAGACAAATCTTTCTGTGGGAACGGTGAACGCAATGATGAAGTGAAGCTAGATGTCCTCGGATGGTTCAGGCGTACAAATCTTTCTGTGGGAACGGTGAACACAATGATGAAGTGCAGCAGGCTGTCCTAGGACGGTTCAGGCGTACAGACAAATCTTTCTGTGGGAACGGTGAACGCAATGATGAAGTGAAGCGAGATGTCCTCGGATGGTTCAGGCGTACAAATCTTTCTGTGGGAACGGTGAACACAATGATGAAGTGCAGCAGGCTGTCCTAGGATGGTTCAGGCGTACAGACAAATCTTTCTGTGGGAACGGTGAACACAATGATGAAGTGCAGCAGGCTGTCCTCGGATGGTTCAGGCGTACAGATAAATCTTTCTATGCTGAAGCTTTCCAGGCATTAGTTAACCCCTTCCTGCCCAGGCCAATTTTCAGCGCTATCACACTTTGAATGACAATTGCGCAGTCATGCAACACTGTACCCATATGAAAATGTTAGCATTTTTTTTAGACAGTTAAAACTTTCTTTTGGTGGTATTTATTCACCACTGGGATTTTTATTTTTTGCTATATAAATAAAAAGACCAAAATTTAAAAAAAAAAAGTTTTCTTATAAAATTCTGCAAATAATCTTTCTTCATAAATCTTTGCCAAAATATATACAGCTATCTTTTTGGTAAAAAAAAAAAAAAAATACAGTGAAACCTGCGATTGGTCACAGCTTGTCACATGGTACAAGGCTGTTGTGAATAGCCCTGTACCATGTGATCTCTGTGATCATTCACAGATTTCAAGCAATGATGTCAGGTGGTGACGTCTTGCTTGCTACTATTCATGTGATCACTGATTGGCCAATCAGTGATCACAGGAATCGGGACCACACACAAAGGTCCCATACAGCGATCGGTGTTCTGCGGACACAGATCGCGGTGCTGTGCGCTCGAGCGCACACAAGCAATGGATACGGGGGGACGTTTAGAAACGTCCCCCCGCATTGGCAATGCTCCTGTCCAGCCGTTTATCGCCATGCGCCGGACGGGAAGAGGTTAAACGCTGGGACAAAAGTAGCAGGGGAGTATGTTGAAAAGTAAATGCAGTTTCCACTCCTTGAAATTTGCTCTTTTATTATATAAACTTAAAAGTCCCGGTTTGACTTGAACGTCCCTCGTACGTTGAGTTCAAACACCACTTTAGATCATCTCCCTGTGAGTTTGGTGGGTCCAATCAAATCTGCTATAGGCAGTGCCTGCCTGTATAGACATGCACCACATTGTCATAGCATATCCTGGGCAGCTCTAACACCAGCCATTTTTTTTTGGGAAGGAGAATTCTTAGCCAGTTACAGCCAGATACCAGGAAAATACCAATCCATCATGAAAGTTGATTTTACAATTTTTACGAATCTCATGCCACTGAAAATTACGATGGTACGTGCAGTAAAGCTGTGGGACAAGTTTGTTGAGGTCATTCAATACTTGGCTGAAGTCAAACATAGTTGATGACCAAGAATGGTCTAGGCCTCTCCTCGTGTCCCCCAAGGCGATGGAGAGCGGGCCTCTCCTCGTGTCCCCCAAGGCGGTGGAGAGTGGGCCTCTCCTCGTGTCCCCCAAGGCGGTGGAGAGCGGGCCTCTCCTCGTATCGCCCAAGGCGGTGGAGAGCGGGCTCTCTCTCCTCGTGTCCCCCAAGGCGGTGGTGAGCGGGACTCTCCTCGTGTCCCCAAAGGCGGTGGTGAGCGGGACTCTCCTCGTGTCCCCCAAGGCGGTGGAGAGCGGGACTCTCCTCGTGTCCCCCAAGGCGGTGGAGAGCGGGTCTCTCCTCGTGTCCCCCCCCCGGTGGCGAAGAAACCGGAAGTCGGCTTCACAACAAGGCTTGGAGCGCAAGTGGAATGCAAATAGATCACCGGGGATCGCATTGTAAGCCACCCGCTCCATCTGTGCTCGCCACAAAGGGATTTTCCCTCGCATTTGGCGAGCGGAAATTTCAAGCCCTGGTCTAGGGGGCAGCAGAGTATTTCAAGCACCTCCTTCTAGTAACATCTTTGCATCCTTTGGCCTAGAAGGAAACAATCACGGATGGAACGCTTTCTGTCTCGCAAGTTGAAAAACGTTACCTGGAAGGGGTAGGTGCAAGACACAGCATACTTTATTAAGAAACTTCTATACAGTTGAAATTTCTAATAACAAGTCCTCTAGACAGTAAACTCTGGTTCTGTTGTGACAGAAACTTTTAAAACTTGTACAAATGATTTTCTCTTTTTCTTTTCCCCCCCTCTCTATTTGGGATTCCGTCTTTGTACTATGGTGGATTTCGGAGGGCTGCGGTTTTACGTATGGGCATCACACACACACAGAAAAAGAAAAAAAAAAAAATCACATCGAAACAGGACATTGATTACTGCCAATGATGGCCTTGAGGGGGAGGAAATGGATTTAAAGTGCACCTGTCATTTTGTAACAGATAACAGCAGTGAAGGCAGTACAGGGGATGAAAGGCAGGCATTGGGGCTACACAGGAGGATGGGTTTGGAGGTTTTAAGAGATGGCGACATCATCCTCACCCTTCCCTACTTCATGAAGCACCGACTTGGAACAAGCAAGCCAGGTATCCCAACCACTAATACGTGTGCTAGATCAGTACAGTGGAGCAAGGATAAAAGTGACAGCTCTGGAGCTTGCACCCTAACAGGACAGTTCACACATGCCTACATTTACAACTTTGTTGAACCCCGTTATATACTTCGGCCGTAGAGTTATCCCAATGGCTGCAATAAACAGCTTTGGTGTAGAAGAATAACATACGTCAGGCAGTTTTTTTTTTAAACTGCTCCTTTTTTTTTTTTTTTTATTAGTATTTCAGTTCACCTTTCACACTTAGCATGTTCACACACCACCACACTCAGTCACAACCTATCCTCCTAAAACAACCATCACAGATGGCTGCATATAGAGATTTAAAGTGTGTGTCCACTCATCAATGCGGATCCATTCTGTGTATAAGCCCTCATGCACACGGGACGTTTTTACTGCGGCTGTTTTAGGTTTTGGAATATTTATTTTTTTTCGACAGCCAGCCTGTTACCCTACGTGTCCGCGCACACAGTGATTGTAATCAACGTTTTTTTTTGGTCTGGGACATTTTTTTGGCTAGAAAAAAAAACCCAGGACTAGTGGGTTCCTAAGGGCTCCATGTACACTGCAGCTGATAAACTCACGTTTAGGAGCTATTTTGCTTTTTTTTCAGCAGCCCCTGAACTCTCCCTAATGTTTTCCTGTGTCCCTGTACACATCGTCGTTTACAGGCAGTTGATTTTACAGTGTTTTTTTTTTTTTTTTTAACGCATAAATTTGCGTTCACACGTCGATTTTATCGGCTTTTCAAACGCAAAACGCGGCAAATCACATTCATAAGCGTTTGCGTTTGAAATTTTTTAACTCTTCTAGTTCCCGATACTGTCCAGAGCCATATTTTTCCATCATGAAAAAATGCATGCAAAGTGTTTTCAAGGTGCTCAGATGGACAAGTCGTTATCAGGCATTTGAGTTTACAGTCGTTTTCTTGAACACAGAAAACTTGCGTTCAGCAGTCGATTTTATCAGTGTTTCAAAAACGCATGTAAACGCGGCACATCGCATTTGTGTGTTTGCATTTGAATTTTTTTTTTTTTTAACTCTTCCAGTTCCCGATGCGGTCTAGAGCCTTTTTTCATCATGAAAAATGCATGCAAAGCATTTTCAAGGTGCTCAAATGGACAAAACACTGAATGCAGGATGTTCCTGCCAAGCTTGTCACACATTGTAATGACCAATTCACACCTCAGACCTCTCCCACCCTTGGAAACAAAAGATATGTTAATGACCAATTCACACCTCAGACCTCTCCCAC